CTAGTCACTAGTTAACCATAAAGGCACACACCTTTAATCCCAGCACTTGGGAGGAGACAACAGGAAGATCAGGAGTTCAAGGCCACCCTGGGCTATATGAAATTGATACAGTCTAAAAGAGAAACAGAGCCAGGCAGTGGAGACTCATGCCTTTGATCCCAGCACTTGGGATTTCATGCCTTTGATTCTAGTACTTGGAAGGCACACACCTTAATCACAGCACTAGGGAGATACAGACAGGATACGGCTGGGTGGAGAGAGGAATATAAGGTGGAAGGAGATAGGATTTCAGCCCCTCTTGAGGCTAAGGAGTTGGTGAGGTAAGAAGTGGCTGTGCCTTGCTCCTTTGTCAATCTGATCTTATAGCATTTACCCTGATATGTGGCTCCAGGTTTTTCTTATTAAGACCAATTAGGATTTGTGCTACAGGGCCAGTGTCATGTCTTAGATGCACAGAGTATTAAAAAAAATCACCTTTTAAATACACAGATCACATCTTTTCCTGCAGAAATCTGAGACAGACATAAATTGAAATCACCTAAATAGAAGGGCAGTAGGAAGAGTCAAGTCATCCAGAAGGGGATAAACCCCCTCACTATCTAAGTGATGCATATTTCCCCCCTTTTTTCCTCTGTGCAGGACCTAGATTTGAATTCATGAGCTCATGTGGAAGTCTCTCTTGGTGCTTTGTTGGTTAGTTTAAGATTCCTCCAGTGATCACACAGGCAGCCTCCTCTCTCCATATCAGACTTTCTTTTTAAAGCTCTGATTATGACTTCTAGTGCCCCTCCTTTCTACACTTTAAGTTCAGATTTCTGTGAGGTGTGTTCTGTAGTCAAGAGTTTTCCTGACCTGACCACCCACTCCCAAATAACTGACTCAGAAACTTAATGTAAATTATAAATGCTCAGCTGATAGCTCAGGCTTATTACTAGCTGACTCTTACATTTTAAGTTAACCCATATTCTTTATTTATGCTCTGCTACATGGTGTTACCTTCATTAACATGGCATGTTCATCTCCTGCTCCCTCTGCATCTGGCTGGTGACCTCCTCTGACTGACTCTGCCCTTTTCCTTCCCATCATCCTTAGTTTGGTTATCCTACCTATACTTCCTGCCTGGCTACCAGCCAATCTGCATTTTATTAAACCTATTTGAGTGACAAATATTTATAGTATACAAGAGGATTATTTTACAGCATTTCCCCTTTTTTTTCTAATTAAAAAAGGTTTTAATTTTAACATAGTAAAATTGTATACAACAAAAACAGTTATTAAGTAAGTATTACAGTTACAATATCCAGTCCATTTGTATTTGGCAAAATTAAAGAAAATGGTCTATTATCTATCTTATCTTTGTGAGTACAAAGTTTTGTTCCTAATTTTTTATTCCTATCTTTTATCATAACTAAAGAAAACTATAACCATAACTATCTAGTCTTCAACTCCATGAAAGAACCAGAAGGATGAAACTTTACCTAATGACAGGGACATCAGGCTGTCTGGACAGTCATGCAAAGTTCCTCTGTAACGTTGGGGCATCCTGTTCTTGCCTACAGGTGTAGCATATCTGACAGACTTTTCTGCAAAGCAGGAGATTTTGAAGGACCATCCTACCTTGTCCTGGCAAATTTCAGCAGTTACCTTTCTTGTATCCTGCTGATCCAGTTTGGACAATATATTGTCAGCTATTGAGGCAAGGACAGTTTCTTAGCCCACATAGCTAGAATTTGTCATAAAGAAAACAAACTCCAATCCCGGGCGGTGGTCATGCACTTTAATCCCAGCACTTGAGAGGCAGAGTCAGGTGGATCTCTGTGAGTTCAAGGCCAGCCTGGTCTACAAAGTGAGTTCCAGGAAAGGCGCACTAAGCTACACAGAGAAACCCTGTCTCAAAAACACCAAAAAAAAAAAAAAAAAAAAAGAAGAAAAAAAGAAAAAGAAAACAAACTCCATACTGAGTTCTTCAATGTCCATCATCTTCTCTGAAGTAGACTGGTGCTGCCAGGAGCAGATGTGTCTCACTGTTCTGAAAAGTCGTAGGTTATTAAACATATTAAATGCCATATTCTGTAGGGCTTTGAATTGTTTGAAGACCATCTATATGTCTAAGTATATCTGTGTATGACCTTGAACACATACCTAACATGACTCTAAGCTTGACTATTATAGATGACTATTAATTTGTATTTTTTTTCAAGACAAGTTTTCTTTGTGCAACAGACCTGGCTGTCCTGGAACTCACTTAATAGAGCAGGCAGGCCTCAAACTCACAGAGATCCACCTGCCTCTGCTTCCCAAGTGCTGGGATTAAAGGCATGAGCCACCACTACCTGGCTAATTTGTATTTCTTAATTATACATTACATTTTTTTTTCTTTTTTTTCAAGACAGGGTTTCTCTGTGTAGCTTTGCGCCTTTCCTGGAACTCACTTGGTAGACCAGGCTGGCCTCGAACTCACAGAGATCCACCTGCCTCTGCCTCCCGAGTGCTGGGATTAAAGGCGTGCGCCACCACCGCCCGGCTATACATTACATTTTTAAATGAGCTTCATGAACTCAATACCTTAAACAAGAGTAGAAGTATACATACAGTATAGCAAAATTAACTTTAAATTTGTATCAATAAACCAAAATCCATACAATGTAAAATATTTAAGATTAATATTTGTTTTTAGATTAGATTCAATAATCTACCTTTTTATCCTATCATTTCTTTATCCCCTATTTTCTTTTTAGAATGAGATCCCTGAATCTAATCTCCTTTGTTCAGCTTTTTTCCTGACCATTACCAACAACAACTTGTAACCAGCCCCTCTTAAATGATAATAAACATCCATAACCCATATTTTGGAAATATGAATGGACTACTTCCTGTTGTCTATGGGGTGCTGACATCTTTAGGGGACCCTTGAGAAAATTCACAATAATTGTTAGGTGTTGGCTGGAGTATTCTGTAAGACTGGATCATCTTAGTCAGCAGCCTTGAAGCTGTTTTGGATGCTGGGTCACCTGGGCTACTTTTATTGGTATCTGGTCCCCTTGCTCTGCAAATATATAAACTTTTATAGATAATATACATATCTGCATTAATACAAATATAGACTGTGCATTGTACACAAGTCAGCCAAAGATGATTTTTTTGTTATGTGTTTGAGCAGGTAAAATATACATCATGTGTCTTATAGTTCTTCTTTATGTTGTAGTTTACTTCTTTATGTTTGTAGTCAGGATTTCAGGGGGTCTTCTTCAATCAAACCTGATTTTTTTAAAATCCAGAATGAATCCACAGCCTCTCATTTCCTGTGGAAATGAAAGGATAACCTCTGCCAGGCAGTGGTGGCACATGTCTTTAATCCCAGCACTCAGGAGGCAGAGCCAGGCAGACCTCAGTGAGTTTGAGGCCAGCCTGGTCTACAGAGCGAGATCCAAGACAGCCACCAAAACTACACAATGAAACCCTGTCTTGAAAAACAAAAACAAACAAACAAAAAAGCATAACCTCTCCTCCAAAGCAATACATCTTTTGACTTAAGTTTTGAATTAAAAATATTTTTAAAAGATGTAGGTTGGTTTAATCTAGCAGCTTTAACCCAGTGTCTCTTAGCAGTCAAAAAATTCAAAGACAACACAATAAAATATAGGATTCAGACTCTGTGTATTTTTCATTGTTATGTGGCTGTTTTCCTTTTATATTACTTACTCCCTTTTATTTTTTATTTTATTTTATTTTTTTGGTTTTTCAAGACAGGGTTTCTCTGTGTAGCTTTGCACCTTTCCTGGAACTCACTTGGCAGTCCAGGCTGGCCTCGAACTCACAGAGATCCACCTGCCTCTGCCTCCCGAGTGCTGGGATTAAAGGCGTGAGCCACCACCGCCCGGCTACTTACTCCCTTTTAAAGAACTGTATTATTTTAAAACTATAACTTTTTAAACCTGACTGTATATATTCTTTCTCTTCTTTCTCTCAAGCTTATTTTTAAACACATTGTAACCCATTCAGAAGCCTTTTCTGTCTGGATCTGTTTTTACTGCGAATCTGTAATCTTTTTCTGTCTGCATGAGCAAAATTTAACTGCTGTGTAATTTAGATCACAGCATGGTAGTAGCTAGCTCTCCACCTCTGTTCCCTGCTGCTACCAGATAGCCATGCTTAACTCTGGTCTTTTGTGTGTTTAGAATCCTTTTATTAGGCTTTCTTGGGTTTTATGTGAAAATTCTTGCTGAAAGTTTGGACATCACATATATATATGTATGGAGTTTTTCTGTCCTGACCCACCTGTTCCTAAATAACCAGCAGCTGCTTCTTGAATAACTGACTTGGAGCCCTAATATAAATTATAAATGCTCAGCCAATAGCTCAGGCTTGTTGCTAGCTAACTCTTACATTTAAATTAACCCACCAATTTCCATGACACACAGCAAACTTCACTATTATGAGAGGATTAAAGCATTGAGCCATTCACTACCTTTTGAGCAGCCAGTATCAGAGCTGCTTTTGAGTCATAGAGGCAGGATCAAGTATAAGTGGAAATCCCCAACTCCACCTTATCGTGATCACTAAGGGAACAGCACGCACGCTCTGCTGCCTACCCACACCAACTTGCACTGCCAGAAAGACATTAGTCTTGCAAGACACACAGAGACAGTGGGTTGTAATATAATACACATTGTGTTAAAACCCACTGATGACAACTAAAGAAGCCACAGAGATATTAGACATACCCCAAGATACATCATTGAGAGGCCACTTACTAAGAAGACCTTCCTGTGGACTTGGAAAAGACAGTCCTTTCAACAGATGTATCTCTCAACATAAAAACACAATGAATATAAAAGAATAAGTAATGCAGCACCTCATAAAGTTCATAACTCTATAATAACAGATTCCAGAGATACCAAAATGAATGATAAATAATTCAAATATATATTGAAAAGGTTCAATAATGCTTTAATAAATATTAACAGTCAAATTGATTACAGCAAACAATTCAAAATAAGCATGAGATTTAGTAAAGAGAGATTTTGAAAAATAACAACAACAACAGCAAAACCCACCAGGAGTTTTGGAATGAAAAGCTTAGTGAGTCAGATTTTTAAAAATCAGTTGAAGCTGGGCAGTTGTAGTGCACACCTTTAATCCCAGCACTCGGTGTGCAGAAGCAGGTGGATCTCTGCTTTTAGGCCAGCCTGGTCTACAGAGTGAGTTCCAGGACATCCAGGACTACACAGAGAAATGCTGTCTTGAGAAATCAACAATTAAATAAATAATAAATAATATAAAAATAAATGAATTTTTAAAAATCAGCTGAAAAATCCTCAACAACTGACTAGATCAAGTGAAGAAATAATATTGGAGCTTCAAATTGTTCCTTCCAAAATAATATGTTTAGACAGATAAAACAAAACTCCGAGAAAGGATGAATGGGGCATGGGAGATCCCTGGGCAGCTTTAGAGATGACAACAACCTGAGTAGGAAGTGGTCACTCAGCAGGCTCCTGTGCTGAATGCCCAGGCTGCAGCTGACGGCTGAAAGATAACTGGATCAAGGATGCTGATATCATTGGTGGCATGGATGGAGGAGGCAGGTCACTGGGCAGTGAGGTGGGGAAACACATCTTTGAAGATTGCCCCTGGCCTCTCTCTCTTTGTCAGAGCTTCCAGGACACTGTAGGTGAGCAGGTCTGCTCTGCCATGCCCTTCCACCATGATGTACTGCTTCACTGCTGGTCCCTAAACAATGGACCAACCAGTATTGGACCATAGACTGGGGCCTCTGAAACGCAACCCCAAATAAATCTTTCTCTCTTAAATATCTGCTACAGTAATTGGAAACTGACTAACTCAAAGAGCAAATATCTGTCTCATCAGCATATTAGCAGGAAAGGAGCTACAGGTCAAAGATATAGGAAATCTATTTAATGAAATAATAGCAGAAAATTCCACAGTCTCAGGAAAGACATGGAAATACAGATTGTCCTTGTGATTGGGATGCTCTCTCTTCCTCCTCTGGGTGTAGGATTCCTTCAACATTGTTGTGCCTGCGTCTCAAGACAAGACCCCGGAGCAAGACCACCACAGAGCCGATATCCAATGCAAAACACGCAGGAATTTATTGATAACAAGCAAGCCTGGGCTTGGCCTGTATCCAACACTCAACACAGCAGGTGGAGGAGGACGGCCCTGAGCTCTGAGAGTGAGGGGTTTTTAAAGGGAAAAACCACAACAAAACAACAACAACAACAACAAAAAAAAAACAAGCCTTGGTATCATATGATTGGGTGAGGGTATGTAACCTTTGAATTTACTGGTTAAGGGTTACAGTTATCATTTTGGGGGCTGTCTGGACAAGTCCCAGACTTTGTTCTTGAGCTGCCATGGAGGCTGGCCAGCCTTGCAGGTTCACTTTGACCCATGCACATAGCTCTAAGTTGGTGAGGGGTCCCAGACAGTAAACAACTGGCTGAACCTTGAGCAGTCAGAGTAGGTGCAGAAAGGGAACTACTGCAAGGACTATGTCTTTTGTTAAGTCTCAGGAGACTGAAATTGAGGCCTGATCTCTGAGAGAAGACTGAGCAGCCTGCTATGGCATCTGCTTGGTCCTCTCAGCATCTTCGTTACTGCTGGGTGAATGCCATGGATCCCTGAGTTTCTGCTCCTCTTTGAAGGTCTGTGCTTCTCCTTTCCAAAGGGACTCATTGTGTACGATAATCCTGTTTGAAAATCGTTTTCTTTCAGAACGTGAAGGACTTCATTAAATTCCATCGTGGCCTTTATAATTTCTGCTGGGAAATCTGTCTAATGAGCTTACCTTTAAATGTGACACGGCATACTCCTTAAATTTTAGTATTCGTTGTTCTGTGTGTTTAGAAAGAGGATTGACAATAAATATTGTAAGGCCAGCCTGATCTATAACATACTGGGTTCCATGCTGCCCAGCGGTACATAGTGAGAAGCTGTCCCAAAACGACAGCAAAAATATAAACAAAAGCTCCAGTAACAACAGCAACAAGAAATTCTAGAATTAAAAATGAATTAAAACATCTTAAGAATGATTTTAGTAGCAAGTGAGGGTGGTGTAAGAAAAAGTAAATGAAATAAAAAAAATACCAATACCTGGCTCTAAATAAAATGATTCATCACATAGTACTAGGGTGATTATTATTTTTTAATAATTTATTTAACTTTACATGCACTGATGTGAAGGTGTCAGATCCCCTGGAACTGGAGTTCCAGACAGTTGTGAGCCACCATGTGGGTGCTGGGAATTGAACCCCAGGTCCTCTGAAAGAGCAGCCAGTGCTCTCCACCACTGAGCCAGCTCTCCAGCCCCTAGAGTAATAATATTATTAATTGAAGTTTTAGAAGAGAAGAAAGTGGAGCAGAAAATGTGAAGGAATATAAGCAAAAGGTGAACAACAGAATTCACATTGAAACGGCTGGACCAGTGACAAGGTAAACATGAAGATAACGCCCTAAACACTTCACAATCAAACCATAGAGAGCAAAGATAAGGAGAAACCTGAAAGCTGCTGAGAACAACACATGCTGTGAAACTCAGCAGTGCCACCATCATTGACCTCTTACCTAGAAAGATGAAGTTCAGATGCCATGGAGAAAATTCTCTGCAGGGCCACAAGAGTGGTAGAGCTGGTCCTGCCCGTACCAGCTACAGCACATGGGACACGTGAGCTGACCCTGTTGGTGGGGGCTCAGGTGAGCTGGGCCTGTTGGTGGGGGCTCAGGTGAGCTGGGCCTGTTGGTGGGGGCTCAGGTGAGCTGGACCTGTTGGTGGGGGCTCAGGTGAGCTGGGTCTGTAGGCCTGCAAGCAGGAGCACTGCCCCTGCCTTCTCCCTGGTATCCAAGGGGTTGCAAGAAAAAGGGAAATAGCCCCCTCCCCCCACCCCTTGCTGCCTTCAACAGGCAGGAGAGCTGACCTTGGGAACATGAATACTGAAGAGTTGGCCCTGCCCCTCACCACGTGCACCAGTCTAAAGAGTGGTCCCTGCACCTCACCTGGGCAGAACAGTAGAGCCTGCCCTGGTGGTAGGAATGCAGGTGAGGTGGACCCAAGGGTGTGAAAGCAGGGGAACTGACTCTGCTCCTTACTGGCTGCTACTTTAGGTGAGCTAGCCAGGGCAGTGCTGGAAAGCTCTAGCCTGGGTGGTGACAATGAGGGAAAGCTGGCAGGTTGACTAACCCAGCTACCACCCTGGCCCAGAACCAGGACTACAAGGTCACCCACCCCAATACCCACCTCATCTATGAACTGCTGGAGCTTGTGAAGGGGCTGGACCTGCAGATCCAAAGCTACTGGATTTCCATGATACAAGGCAATGATAGGAGATTGAAGAAGAGCCCTAGTGAGGGCCCAGTATTGAGGGTGTAGCAGAAGCCAGAGGCCTTGAACTCACCGATATTCCATTGCAATGAATAGGTACAAGTAAAGATGTGTGGACTAAAGGGTAGACTGTGTGGCTCACTGGGCCACACCACAGCTTCCATGCTGAGACTTTTTTTTTTTTGTCTTTTGTTGTTTTGTTTTTTGGTGTTTTTGTTCGGTTGGTTTGGTTCTACTTTTAAATTTTGTTTTTGGCAGGCAGGTTGCAAGGGCAGAAGGCAGAAAAAAGGGGAGAGGGAGATGAGCAGGATCAGGATGCATGATGTGAAATCCACAAAGAATCGATAAAAAGGTTAAAAAAAAAGAATGTTAAAACGCAATTCTGTGTCCAACAGGATGAATAAAGTCAAAATGTTTTCAAATAAAACATCAGCGGGCTGCTCCAGGAGAAATGCTGAGGAATTTCATCTGTCTGAAGAGAAATAGTATTAACGAAACACTAAGACCTTCAAGAATGTAGCTATAAGAGGCACCTTTATTCTCTCTTAAAATACACAGCAGTTCAAAGCAAAATTTATAAAATTGTCCTGAGGAGTATATAGTGTATATATGACAGACATAACAAAGGACAGCCAGGGATGGTAGTACTAAACCTACAGTACCGATGGTTTCTACACTGGATGCACAGTTGTGAGCTCAATAATTAAGTGGTTTGTATAAAGTGGTTATTAACAGCACCATGCTCTAACCAATTATGTCAACTGGCCAGCCTGAAAACTAGTTGTATTATAATCTCTAAAGAGACTTAATATATAAGGCAAAGAACTGGAGCTAAATGCCAGCAGAAAACTAAAATAGATAGCTATATGACACAGGTTATATAACCCAGGCAAGTCTGGAACTTACGATGTAGCCCAGGCTGCTCTTAAACTTTAAAATCCTCCCACTTCAGCCTCCTGGGTATTGGGATTATAGATGTGTGCTACTGTGCCCATCTTAACATGAATTCCAAAAAATATTCAAATATACTAAAAGGAGACAAGAAAGGGAGAACAAAAGAACACACACACACACACACACACACACACACACACACACACACACACAGAGAGAGAGAGAGAGAGAGAGAGAGAGAGAGAGAGAGGAGGGAAAAACAGGTAAATGATGGAAAACCAAAGTTTAACCATATCAATTACCACATTAATTATCTATGGAGTGAAAAGGAAGACCCAATTTTATTCTATTATGTATGTATTTTAAGTACAGTGACATAGAGCCAGGCACACTGTATGCATCCAAGGTTTACGATATTCACCAGGCTGAGATGAGATCACTTGGGTTTACGATATTCACCAGGCTGAGATGAGATCACTTGAGCCTAGAGTTGAGACCAGCCTGAGCAACAAGTGAGACTCCCATCTCAAAATGAAAAATAAATGTAAAGACACAAACAGATTACAGGTCAACGGGAAAAGGAAAGCAGATGAGTGATTAAAGACACAGAGGCAATTAGCAAGCATAGCATTAGGTAAAGACTTCAACTCAAGCATTAGCAGAGGTACAGGGGGACATTCATAATGATAAATGTCAGTTCATCCAAAGATACGGTAATCATAAAGTGTTTCTACATGTCATAGGAGTTTCCCACTCCACAGAGCAAAGTACATGAGAATGAAAGAGAGACAATTCTGCACCTGTACATAGCAGGAAATCTTACCATCCCTCTTAACTGACAGAAAACAGTATAGAAAATAAAGCTATATAGTCAGAGGTGATGAACAATATGGTCAACCACCTTGACCTAGCGTTTGCTTACAGAACACTACACCCGAAGCTGCAAAAATACACTTGTAAGGATGCAAAGCATGTTCACTAGAACAGACCATAGAGCAAACCTCAACAAATTCATGGGGATTGAAGGCTAGCTCTTGTTCTCTGGCCAAGGCAGGGTGGAGAGGAAGAGTTGAGTACCCTGAGGCCACTGAAGAGTGAGGAAATGGTGCTGAGGAGAAGGCAGTCACAGGATGTCAGATACCAGATGTGGAAAGGAGGGAGGAAGGAAGGAGGCACCATTTGCCTACCTGGACCCCAGCCCTCAGGCTCTGGCTTCTTGCCTGGCCCCAGGGTCATAGCAGAGGTGCTGCTGCCTCATTCAGATTGGCTAGGACACTGGTGCTCAGAATCTGCCCCCAGAACTTCCTGGTTATCCCATTTATCTGCCAGATCCATGGCCAACTTGTCCTCTTTGCTCTGGTCACAGAAGACAAACGTCTCAGAAGGAGTGAAGTGTGGTGACTACAAGGTAAGTGCTTACATTATGGGCTCAGATTCGGGTGGGATCCCAGTGACCAGAGGGTCTGGAAAGGGAAGGATGGTCAGAAGAGGCAGGCTTCCACTCTGACTTTGTTCTAGCTGTAGGTACCTGGCTGGGAGCAGTGACCCCAAAGCCAGTCACAGGGACGCCCTGCCACTGCTCTGTTTCTGATAGCCAGAGAGGGAAGGGCCCAGCCTCCAGGCCAGGATCCCCCAACATGGTGGGCAGTGTTGTCAGGTACTGGGCCGTGGAATTGGGAAACTTGTCTCCCAGGCTCTGATGGTTCCAGGGTGTTGCTCTTTCTCCTTTTAATATAACTAAATGAATGAATGCTAAATGCAAGGGTAGCTGTTTCTCTAGTCAGGAAGAAAACAGGGGTCAATACTTCCCGGTGGTGGGCCTGGAGGTGGGGTTCCATATACCATTCAAGAGGTCCCAGCATTCCAGAGGCAGTCCCATACCCTGGTTAAGTCAGATCACCTCAGTTGGAACACTGGTTCTACCACGTTTTAGATGTAACCTTAACAACCTCCCCAAGCCCCATTTTTCCAAATGACAATGACAGCGAGCTCTACATGCCATTATTGTTAGGGCTAACTGGGGCCTTCACATACCTTTTGGCAATGAGGAGTATTTTCCATTATGGGTGGAACACCAGCCACGGACCTGGACCCTGTTTGAAGAAGCAAAGGCCCAGCTGATGGCAGCCAGAGTGCCTCTCGGCCCCCACCACCCAGTGGGAAATTTGAGGGAGAGTCTGGGCTTTCCAGTTGAGTGATTCCTTTTGATCTGTGAGGCAGGGGTCACAGGGAGGCCACCAGCCTTTGGGACACATTGTTCTTGTCCTCTGAACTGAGAAAGCGGTATTCTCCCCAGCCCTCACTTGGTGGCCAAATGTGCATGCTCAGGCAAATGTGCCAGTTCAGGAGCCAATTAGACCTTAGATAAACAAACCCTGCCCTCTGGCCTTGTAGGGATCACAAAGAGCTCTCAGTGCTTCCCAATGGTCAGGTGATGCCCAGTTTGCCAACCTTACTGTCCCTACTTTACAGATGAGGAAGTTGAGGTAGAGAGAGAAGGGATTTTTTGATGTCCCATATGGAGAGGTGACATAGGTCTCTCAACCTGTCATCAGTATCTAATGCAGAATCAGGCACAGCACACAGATATTGAGCGGCTGGAACATGGAGCACATGGGAAGTAGCCCGTGGTAATGACTGTTTTCTCTCCCTAGATGAGTTTCGCATCACAGGTAAATGGAGCAGAAGTCCTTGGCTCATCTCGTCCCCTCCCAGGCAGGGTGGCAGCTGTCTCAACGGGGCCAGGACAGTCCACTGTCTTCTGTAGCTGTGACTTCTGCTTGACCCAGTGGGCGTGGGGTGAAAGGGAAGCCAGGAGTAAGGTGCTCTCCCTGTTGGGTGGGTGTTAGAGGGTATGACCCCTGAACAAAGGGCACAAGGACACAAAGATGCCCCAAGTCCTGGGCTGAGGGGTCACTTGCTGCTCCCAGGTCCTTTTGCAGTGCCTCAATAGTCCTACACTCTCTCTCTCTCTCTCTCTCTCTCTCTCTCTCTCTCTCTCTCTCTCTCTCTCTCTCTCTCTCTCTCTCCTCCCTGAAACCAAAGCTCAGGTATAACCAGGGCAGTGAAAGCATCCTTCCAAGTTTTCAGAGCCCTCTGTTTGCAGTAAAGATGAGAAACTAAGCTAGATCTCTCAGTTCCTTCCATAAAAAAACAAAAACACGCCATGGTATTTATTTATGGGATGCAGGATGGTCTTGTGGACACAGATTAGCTGTGTGTCCTGTAGCAAGATTTGACGTTCCTCAATTTCCTCCTGAAAATAAAGATACTATACCTATCTTGAGAATTGTAGCAGGGAGTGAAAGAATGCACATTTGCTGTTGAGGTTATTGGATTTGGGAGCTATCTACTATGGTCCAGATTTCACGGACATCTTCCTGTTTCTTCAGGCCTACATCTCAACCCAGGTACCTGCTGACACCAGAACCCAGTGTTGCTTGTAGGAATGACAAAATGGAAGATGCGGAAGGAGATCCAGGAGCTGGGAGAGGAAGGAGAAAGGCGTGGCAGGATTTGAGAATAAGTGGATAACTGTGGGTGGTGAGGGAGTCCCAATTGCTGGATAATATGGGGTCCTTAAGGGTGGCTCAGGGCAGGGTCCATCTGTGGTTTTCAGTGCTCTGGAGTTCCTTAAGGACAGGGAGGCAGGTGTAAAGCAGTGAAGACCTTCTGCCTAGGGCCCTACCCCAAGCCAGGTCTACCATGTGTGATAAGCGGAATGACCCAGCTACACCTGTGCATGTCCTACCCTGAAGTCTCCACGTTTCTCCTCTTAGACCCTAGTAAGGGCATCTAGCACCATTAAGTTCTTCTTCTCTGAGGCGTTCATGGGTCAGCACTTCCAGGAGGTGGACTTAGACAAAGGCGAGCCTCAGCCTGGAGACCTCTTCCTGTTCAAGTTGCGGTCTCCTAGGGCACAGTGGTGCGGGGCCCACGTGGGTGTTTACTGTGGCCACGGAGAGATCATACACTTTGAGGGTGAGTGAAAACATATTGGACCAGCCACGAGAGGGCTGCACTGGGATGGAGTGTGGGTCTCTGAAAGGGGGAGGGGCAGCCCGGGTGTGGGACTTGGGTTTGAGGAAATGCTAGTTCTGATTTGCACTGGGTCTGCTACCTCTGCAGGCAGGACCTCTGGCAGTGGTGGATTACAAACCCTTCTGGGTTACTGCGAAGGTGTGGTGTGCAAACAGGGTCACCGCGCGCTGCAGCGCTCCCGAGAGCTCTGGCGTGTGCTTCGCAGACGCGGTGGCATTGACCCTAAGGTGCTGGAGCGCCGTGTGCAAGAAGCTATGAACAGCGATCCTCCTCTCTATAATCCTACTAGCAGCAACTGCGTGCACTTTGCACTGAAGCTGTTGGGTGTTGACTCAGTAAGCACCTCTCCTCTACCATACATATCCCCAGCCCAGCCCCTGAGTTTGCTAAGATATGCACCTAGTCAACCTGCTCCAGCAAAATTCAGACGTTCCCCTCCCCTACTACACTCAGACCAGGTTCCTCTAAGGTCTTTACTCTGGCAGTTCTAAAGTCCCCAGAAACTAATTGGTGTGCCTATTTGTTGAAGTCACACACTATGAAACCCTTTGAGCCCTTGCCAGGCAGGCCTCAAGCCCCAGTTCTTACATCCTGGCCAGACATATTCACTGAATACACCAATCTCCTACCCACATGCTGGGCCAAACCCATCATTCTTTTCCCTTCAATAGAACTTTCTGAAAGACACACCAAGACCAAGTTTTCAGCACACAGGAGAATTCTTAGCCCCAGAGGGACAAAGGACCACCTTTCGATAAAGTAGTGACAGATGTGGCCCACAGGCAAAAGGCAGTTTCTAAAGGGAAAAGAATAGCCCTGGTGTTAAGATGAGGTGGATTATTTTGGTTGGGCATCTTCATTAGCATAGACAAAAGGGGCTTTGATTACTAGACTTCAATACTTTGATAGCTGGATGTTGGTGGTCAGCCTCAGGAGGAGGAAGTGGCCAAATAAGGGAATTAACCTTGGTGGCTAGCTTTAGGAAGGTAATCTAACAGTATAGTAAGACAGGGAATGGGGGAAAAGACCTACCACAGCCTCATTTGCCAAGATCCTGCCTACTAGAGTCCTTCACTTTCTATCGACCCAAAGTCCACCTTTCTGAGTTCCACCCATTTCCAACCAGCCCACCAGTTCTGATTCCAGACACTTGGGGATCCTAGGTTCTACCCATGAAGACAGCCCTTGGGAACTCTTCCATTCTCCAAGTCTTGCCAGGAGTTTCCAACCATTCAACCCCATGCCCCAAACTCTAGCCCAAAGAGATATAACCCACACATCTGCATAGTTTAGGGCTTTCTCTCCACCCAGACTTACTACCTTCCTTTAGTAGGTACCTTCCCTCTGTCAACCCTCCCTCCCTTGGGTGTTGGGAGCTAAGGTCCAAGAATCACCAAGTCCCTGAGACCTGGTGATTACACCAGACCCTAACTCAGTCTGTTACCTCTCCCTTCCCTCCTAGATGTCAATGGAAATGGACTTAACCAGGGATTAATGTGACCTTGGGCCCTCCTGAGTGGGCCAGAAGAGGCTTCAGAAAGCATCATTAAAGTCTTTTCTAAAACTTGCTTGGGATGTTAGATGTGCTCTCTACTTCCCCTGGAACCGCTCTGCTCCCAGAGTGCACTAGGGCTTGCTTCCTGGGTCTGGCTGCCCTGACATTCCACTTCTTCCAGGAAACAGCTATGCTTCCCACTTGGTAGGCAGGTTGCCCCCAGAGGGATTTAGACTGTGTGGAAAAGGAGGTTGGAAAGGTACTATCCCTAAATCTCTCAGTTCGGTGTTCTACTGGTGCCTGCGGGTATGGCCTTCTTTCAGCTTATCCCCCTTCCTTCACTGCGTGGGTGGGCGGACCCCTGGAGGTCAGGTGATCTGGGTGGTGACAGGAGGTCTGCATCCCTCCAAAGGCTGTACCCTCATCAGCCCAGCAGCTTGGTTCACTGTTCCCAGTGTAGATGCTTGCAGTGGTTTTAAGTGCGGAGGCACCGGTGTCAGGGGGGTTCTGAGGGATTGGGCGGGGCGGGTACCGTTCCTTCTGCCCCGGTCTGCTCACCGCAACCCCTGCACCCCGCGGGTGGTGCCGGTGCCTTTAAGAATCTCAGCGCGCGGCCCTGATTGCTGAATCGGCGCGCAGCCTCTGCGGCGCAGCTTGCATCTCTGCAGAGCTAGGCGTGCGCCCCCTGCCTGGGCCCTAGCCCAGCCGAGCCGCTCAGTCACCCGGCATCGCAGACCCATGTCGGCCGCCCCGGCCTACAGCGAAGACAAGGGCGGCTCGGCCGGCCCCGGAGAGCCGGAATATGGCCACGACCCGGCGAGCGGCGGGATCTTCTCCTCCGACTATAAGCGGTGAGCTTGCGAAGCGCAGCCGGGACGCGGCTGACACTGGGGCACCATGGACAGCGCCCCGGAGGCCGCGGGCTTGCGGGACTCGCTCTGCGGGGTTCCTGCAGCCCTGCCACCTCGCCCTAGGCAACTGAGGGGACCCGAGGCTAGTGGGGGAGGGGCCAGCCAGGGAGGATTCTCCAGGAACAGCTGCCGGCCCGTGTTGTATCTCTTTGGCACCTTCTATTGGCTGGGTAGGTTGGCTCAAAGAGAAACCAAAACATAACCCCTAAACCCAACACCGTGGGGGGGCGGGGGACGTCTGAGTTCGTGAACTGGAGTGAGTCTGGACCACTCCAGGAAGCTGGCCCAGGATGTAGACTGTGAAACGGGCTCCTCCTACAAATTCATTTCTGCATCTCCCACCTCATTCTCACTTGGCTCACCCACCCCTACCCCCCCATTGAGCTATGATTCAGTCCTACTTGGCTGAACTATGGTTCAGCCCCTTACCTTTGACTCATTCATTTCTGTGTTCATAAATTCAATGGCAATCATTTATTAAAGGCCTACGCATAGACCTGCTAGCCATGTAATACAGCAGTGGACAGGAGACCACAGATTACTCTAACAAGGAGCAAGAATGCAGCATGACTATTCAGCTTTTAGGGTCAGGAGGGGAGTGGGAGGTGTGTTCCGTTTTAGGGAGGAAAGTACTCACATTTTAGAAATAGGTCTGGGTTGGAGTGATGGCTCAGTGGTTAAAAGCCCTGTCTGTTCTTCCAGGCGACCTCATTCAATTCCCAGCACCCCCATGACAGCTAACAACCCTCTGTAACTCTAAGATCTGACACCCTCACGCAGACATACATGCAAATAAAATAAAATTTTTTAAAAAACAGAAGAAGAAGAAAAGAAAAAGAAATGGGTCTGGGGTCTCAAGGAAAAGCCCACACAATCCAAAGCACTAGGGGCAGGCAAATTTACTTCTGCAGAAGAGACATTCAAGCAGGCAGGCCCACCTAGTGGGAATCTCTCAGTACTTCTATTACTGATGGAAAGGTGATCCTGCTCCTCACTCTGGATGGTCAGTTTTAGGCCTCACATACTTAGTTGGCTGCTCACAACAACAAACCCTTAAAAGCAGTGCAACTGACAAGCAAATTGTAATTTTTTTGAGAATAGGGTGCAGCTTTTTTTGTGTGTTGGGGGGTTTTGTGGTTGTTGTTTTGATTTTTTGTTTGTTTGTTTGTGTTTAAGACAGGCTTTCTGTGAAACCCTGGCTGTCCTGGAACTCACTCTGTAGAACACTCTGGCCTCAAACTCAGATCCCTCTGCCTCTGAAGTGCTGGGATTAAAGCTGTGTGTCACCACCACCCAGCTCAGGATGCAGCTTTGAGCCCATACTTTGGTCTTAGACAAAGGTTAGTCTATGGGCCTATGCAGAATTCCCAGCTCCCCGGGCTGGCAGGCCTATGCTGAGAAGAGGAAAACCGAGACAAAGCAGAGGAAGCCTGTGTGCTCTCTTTCTATGTAACATTTTAGTAAAAACTCCCATTGATAGGGAAGATGGTGAGCTGGGTGTGATAGTGCTCACCTTAACCCCAGTGCTCACGAGGTAGAGGCAAGCAGACCTCTTTGAGTTCAAGACCAGCCTGGTCTACATAGCAAGTTCTAGGACAGCCTGGGCTACAAACAAACAAGCATATTTTATTTGCATTTTCTACATCCCAGAGGACTAAAGAAAACAAAAAATATGTAGATTCTTCTGATGTCAGCGCAATGTGGCTAGAATCACTGCAAGTCACTAGAATGAATGAGGTTCTAAGCAGGGGCTGCCACCAGATTTGTGTATTGGAAGGATCTCAGGCCGGACTGAAGAAAGTGAAAGTGAACTGGTTCAGGGGCTGGGGAGATGGCTCAGTGGTTAAAAGCACCTGTTGCTCTTTCAGAGGACCCAGGTTCGATTCCAGCGCCCACATGTTGGCTCATGTGACTATCTACAACTCCAGCTCCAAGGGGATCTGATGCCCACTTCTGACCTCCTTGGACAAGAAGCAAAAATGCACATGATGCACATGCATACAGGAGGGAAAACACACACAAGCATGAAATAAGAAAAATAAATAAATCTTTTTTTTTTTTTTGGTTTTTTTGAGACAGGGTTTCTCTGTGTAGCTTTGTGCCTTTCCTGGGACCTACTTGGTAGTCCAGGCTGTCCTCGAACTCACAGAGATCCGCCTGGCTCTGCCTCCCGAGTGCTGGGATTAAAGGCGTGTGCCACCACCGCCCGGCAAAATAAATAAATCTTAAAAAAAAAAGAAAGTGATCTGGGTTGAACAAGTAATAAGGGAAGGAGATGGTAGCTGGAGTTGAATGGCTGGGCATGAGGCTGGCCTAGAGAAAATCTGTTTAAACTAAGGGTCCCAACTGGGTCTGCTAACAGAATGAGCATTCACAAAAAGTTTGCCAACAGTAAAGGATTCCGAATTTTACAATTAATTCAAAATCAAACGCACAATGGGACTTGGAAGTTTCTGACCTGTGCTGCCTACTGTGACTTTACTGCAACTGTGATTCTAAACATATAACATACACACTCTACAACTGTGATTAGATCACACCAGACATTGACACTGCCTGAGACACCTTGGTACACACTGGAGACTCTCCCTGGAGACTGATATGCCATGACTCACAGCACTTTCAACTGTACATACACAATCTTCTGCTCTTACAAAAGCATAATGGTTTAATTACAGAAACAGGGACTTTTCACATTGTCTTATCATCATTCTTCAGCATGTATCAAATTAGTGTATCTTCCGATTGTTGTGTTACACAAACAAGCACATCCATCTCATTAGTATGCAAATTTACTTTAGTCCTGAATGGTAAAATTATCTGTGCTAAATAACTGATTTTGTTATCTTGTTATTATTTTTATATGCATGTGTGAGTGTGTGTATGTATGTGTGTGGTATATGTGCACATGTATGTGTGGGTGAGCATGCCACCAAACTACAGGAAGATATCCTCCTTTGTTAATGTCTGCCTTATTCCTTTGGTGCAGGGTCTCTCACTGAACCTGGAGCTCACAGGTTTCATCTAGACTGGCAGCCAGCCCTTCCCCAGAGCTTCTTCGCTCTCAGTGCTGGGTTAGAGGTGTGAACAGGACCATGTCTGGCTTTTACATGGGTGCTGGGATCTGAACTCTAGTCTTTTGTGCAAGTACTCTTAATTGTTGAGTCATCTCTCCAGCCCCAAAGAATTGTTTTAAAATAAATTTCTTTTGGGTTCATTGCCATTAATGCTTGATTTGTCTGTCTGTCTTACATATCTGCACACAGGGTCATGTAAGAATTTCTTAGGTGCAAAGAAGGGCTCAGTAGAAAGTGTTTAAGATGTCCTGACCTAGACTAGGGGAGACAGGAGACATAAGGGCTTACTTTTGTATTGCTTTGATCCAATATCTGATAAAAGCAATTTAAGCAAGGGTTTATTTTAACTCATAGATTGAGAATATATGTTGGGGAAATGGGATATCAAGAGTCTGAGGCTAGACACAGTCAGCCATGAAGCCAAGAAGATAAATGCTGGTGCTTCATCTCTCTCTCTCTCTCTCTCTCTCTCTCTCTCTCTCTCTCTCTCTCTCTCTCTGTCATGTGTGTGTGTGTGTGTGTGTGTGTGTGTGTGTGTGTATGTGTGTGTGTGTAATTTTTTAAATTTATTATTTTTATTTTATATGTATTGGTGTTTTTCATGCATGTCTGTGAACCACACATGTGCCTGGTGCCTGTGGAGGCCAGAAGAGGTTGTCTGATTTCCTGGAGCTGGAATTACAGACAGTTGTGAGTTGCCATGTGGGTGCTGAAAATCGAACCTGGGTCCTGTGGAAGAATAGCCAGAACTCTTAACCACTGAGCCATCTTTACAGCCCAATTTTCTCCTTTTTTTTTCAGTCAGGGCGCCCAGAGCACGGGTGTTGTCACTTACACTTAGGATGGGTTTTCCCACCTCTCTTAGACCAATCTAAATATTCCCTCACAGACAAGGCTATTGGTGGTGATGGTGGTGGTGGTGGTGGTGATAGTTTTTTTTTTTTTTTTTTTGGTTTTTTTTTTTTGGTTTTTCAAGACAGGGTTTCTCTGTGTAGCTTTGCACCTTTCCTGGAACTCACTTGGTAGCCCAGGCTGGCCTCGAACTCACAGAGATCCGCCTGCCTCTGCCTCCCGAGTGCTGGGATTAAAGGCGCACGCCACCACCGCCCGGTGATAGTGTTTATTATTATTATTATTATTATTATTATTATTATTATTATTATTATTATTCTGTATCCTACAAACTGACAGACAAGATTAACTACACAAACTGGCTTTGGGAGGACTGATGAGGATCAAAAGCCTGGGCCAGAATGAGCAGGGATGTATGAGATTTCTGGGGAGGAGGGAAACACAGTTCAGAGAAAATTTAGGGTTCAGTTGTGGCTGTAAGATTTGGAGTGGAAAAAAAAATTCTTCCCCTGACCCTCTCACCTGCCCAGAGACTGGGATGGGCTCAGTCCCTGTCCCCAGCCATCTGTCCCTCCTGTGGCTTTGCTTCTGAGCATTGAAAAGGAAACCGGAGCCTCCCATCTGGCCAGTGTCTAGTTACTGAGTTTCAGGGCGGGCCTTCTGGTGGCAGGGGGCAGTGACAAACAGTCCTGCTCACTGGCCAGCTCAGTACTCTCTTGGAGCTGGACTTGGTGCCAGATGCAGCGATTCCTGCAGCTCCCCGGGACTGTAGTGAGGCCAGGGGCCAGCGGGGCTGATCAGGAGGAAGCTTCCAGTCCTGTGCTAGGTCCTGAAGGTGGGCCCCCACCCTGGTACCAGGCCCTGAAGCCTGAGGAGCTCCGGTGGCTGCAGGCTCCTGAGGAAGACACAAATCCAGAAACATCCTTAGAAGGACCTTGCCCTGAGGCTGGCCAAGGCCAGACCCTGAGCCAGCCATTAAGGTACAGAATGCCCCGCCTCTGCCCCAGAGAG